CGGCAGCTGGCCCGCTGAGTCCTCCATTATTTTGAAATTGAAGTTCTTGGTTGCATTGTACTCAGGCGTGCCCACTGGTGGAAGTTCCATGCAAGCTGGATTCTGGAGGGCTGAGTTCTTGAATCCATTTTTGAAGATCTTGGAAATCAAATCCATAACCTCGCTCGGAATGATTCCATCTCCGTAACGATTCTCTGTGCACACCATCATATACTTCGAGTGTATTTTTTCTACCCTCAGGCAGTCTATGCCTCTTGCAATGCTGCATACGTCTTCAAGTAATGAGACCACCGCTGCATCAGGATGCAAGTACATGTCCTTGATGGCCATCATCTTGGGGCGGACCTCCGCGATCTGCTGTTCACGGGAGGCGTTCATCACGCCGCGTGCAGGAGGACGCCACAAGCGCCAGCAGCAATCCTCGCCCAAACGGCTGGAGCCCAAACTCTAGTGACATTCAAAAACATGTGCAACAGAGGGTTGCGAATTCGAAATGATATGTTGCATTTGCAATGCACAACATTCTTGTAACGCTCGATACAATATTCTGAATGCGTTCGCACGCAAGTCTGGATCATGATTTCCGATATGCGTGATCCCGAAAATCCAAACACATGCATGCGTTTCTGGAGGCAACATCCAAGGAAAACCCGATGCAGCAGCTCTGTTTTCACGTAAGCATGTAAAAGTTAGCGAAGTTAGCAACTTCGCTAACTCAAGCTATCTACCTCCAAATGCACCGCCCGAGTTAGCCGACTTAGTAACATTACTAATGGTTATAACTTACTTGCAACCTAGTTGCAACTTACTTATAACCTACTTACATGTGCTGCTAACAATTAGTACGGCCGAGGGCCTTCAGGTGTTTTCCCAGAACATCCTCTCCTTCTCCCTCCCGCCTCCCGCCTCCCAGCAGTGCCCCTCCCGCCCCTCCAGGGAGGCCCCGCCTGAGCGAGGAGGGTAACGGAAACCCATGTTATTTACTTGGTTTCGTGCCCTTCCCACCTGTCCAGGGAGGCCCCGCCTGAGCGAGGAGGGTATCCCACCCCTCCAACAGGGAGGCCCCGCCTGACTGAGCGAGGAGGGTATCAGACGCCCATACTATTTACATGGTTTCGTGCCCCTCCCACCCCTCCAGGGAGGCCCCGTCTGAGCGAGGAGGGTATCAGAAACCCATACTATGTACATGGTTTCGTGCCCCTCCCTCCCTTCCAGGGAGGCCCCGCCTGAGCGAGGAGGGAATCGGGAACCCGTACTATTTACAAGGCTTCGTGCCCTTCCCACCTCTCCATGGAGGCCCTGCCTGAGCGAGGAGGGAATCGGAAATGAATAAAGATTTTACATGGTTTCGTGCGCCTCCCACCCCTCCAGGCAGGCCCCGCCTGAGCGAGGAGGGTATCGGAAACCCATACTATTTACATGGTTTCGTGCCCTTTCCATCCGCCTGAGCAAGGAGGGTATCGGAAACCCATACTATTTAAATGGTTTCGTGCCCTTCCCACCTCTCCAAGGAGGCCCCGCCTGAGCGAGGAGGGTATCGGAAGCCCATGCTATTTACATGGTTTCGTGCCCCTCCCACCCCTCCAGGGAGGCCCCGCATGAGCGAGGAGGGTATCGGAACTCATGCTATTTACATGGTTTCGTGCGCCTCCCACCCCTCCAGGGAGGCCCCGTCTGAGCGAGGAGGGTATCGGAAACCCATGCTATTTAAATGGTTTCGTGCCCCTCCCACTGACATGGGTGAGGAGGAGGGGAGAACATTACCTATCCATCTCACGTCCTACTCTCCCACTGAGGGGGGTGAGGAAAAGGGGTAGTTTTGCGATGAGGAAGGCTTCATCATGATGATGGTGACGACGATGGTTATAGTGCTGTTCACGATGACGGCGATAATGGTGATGGACGATGACGATGGCGATAACGGTGATTATGATGATGATGCTGATGATGATGACGATGATGATGATGACGATGATGACAACGATGGCGACGACGACGAGGATGATGATGCAGATGCTGGTGATGATGACGATGCTGCTGCTGATGCTGACGTTGCTGGTGCTGTTGATGATGATGACGACGATGATGCTGATGATCATGACGTCCACGATGATGCGGACGATGATGATGCCAAGGACGGTCATGGAGATGGTGATGACGATGCTGATGATGATGATGATGACGATGGTGGCGACGACGATGATGATGATGATGATGATGACGATGACGCTGGCGATGATGATGATGCTGATGATGCTGATGGTGATGAGGATGATGATTATGGTTATGATGATGCCGATGACGCTGACGATGATGATGATGTTGATGATGTTGGTACTGATGATGATGACGATGATGCTGATGATGACGACGACGACGGGGTGACGACGATGCTGCTGATGATGCGGATGATGACGACGATGATGCTGGTGATGATGATGATGATGATGATGATGCCGAGGATGAGGAGGACGAGCAGGAGCAGGACGAGGAGGATGAGGAGGAGGAGGACTCGCTTGAACGAGGAGGGTCGCGGACAGCATTACTCTTTACCAGGTTTCGTAGGCCTCCCCCCTTCCAGCGGGGCCCCGCCAGAGCGAAGAGGGTATCAACAACCCGTACTATTTACAAGGCTTCGTTTCCTGAGCACCTGTCCTCCCTCCTCCTTTCTTTCATCTGCCCTTTCGTGCGTACTTACTCGTTCGATGAGCTTCTCCTTCGTGTTGATGTTGTCGTACCCCATGGGTCCCACGAAACGGTTGATATTTACCTAACAGCTTGTTCTGATAGGTTTCTAGTGGTCTCAAAAGAGAGCAGCAGATGACTCCACAAGGGGGTCTGGGCGGGTGCCGGACAGGGTGCCGCAGAAGTCGCTTTAAGCCAACAGTCACACACTTCGTGCTCTTCGACCTCCCAGAACTCCATTCCCAGGCCACATTTTGGATGCCCGGAGCCAACTGTAGGCCACTTCGTGCTCTTCGACTTCCCAGAACTCCATTCCCGGGCCACATTTTGGATGCCCGGAGCCAACTGTAGGCCACTTCGTGCTCTTCGAGTTCCCAGAACTCCATTCCCGGGCCACATTTTGAATGCCCGGAGCCAACTGTAGGCCACTTCGTGCTCTTCAAGTTCCCAGAACTCCATTCCTGGGCATGATTTTGAATGCCCGGAGCCAACTGTAGGCAACTTCGTGTTCTTCTAGTTCCCAGAACTCATTCCTGGGCCACATTTTGAATGCTGAGGCAGGCTGATGCTGCGGCCGAGGCAGGCTGAGGCTGAGGCAGGCTGAGGCTGAGGCCGAGGCTGAAGGCAGACTGAGGCTGAGGCTGAAGCAGACTGAGGCTGAGGCTGAGGCAGGCTGAGGCTGAGGCTGAGCAGGCTGATGCTGAGGCAGGCTGAGGCTGAGGCTGAGGCTGATGCAGGCTGAGGCTGAGGCAGGCTGAGGCTGAGGCCGAGGCTGAAGGCAGACTGAGGCTGAGGCTGAAGCAGGCTGAGGCTGAGGCTGAGGAGGCTGAGGCTGAGGCTGAGGCAGGCTGGCTGAGGCAGGCTGAGGCTGAGGCTGTGACTGCGACTGCCGTTGCCGCTGCGACTGTCATCGCGAATGCGACTACGACTGCGAGAACAGCAGAATTCTACAACTGGATTTTCATCTGAATCTGAAGGGGAATGCTTTCAGATATGCTTCTACATATCGCTGTTAGGTTGCTTTGCCGGGATAATTTTTATGTGGGGAACTGCGTTTGCATAATTTGACCACTGATAGGACTGCAATCGATTCCACTGGGTTTGCACTTGATTGGCTTGCAACCGATTGGATTGCAACCGCTGGGGGGGCGCACAGGGCAGCGACGAGGAGGCGGCGACGGGACGGTGACGGCGACGAGCAAGGAACCGCCAGACCGACCCTCAGGCCAAGACGACGGGCGGCGACGACGCAGCAAGGGGGGGCAACGGCAAGGACGGAAAAACCAGACCGCCCCTCAAGCCCAGACGACGACGGGCGGCGACAGGGCGGCAACGGCGAGGAGGAGAGAGCCGCAAGACCGCCCCTCAGACGACCCAGCCAATACTAGGAAAGAAGAGAGAAGGCCCCCTAAGTGCAAGCACTGTTTGGGAAATGTCATGATGTTCAATGTCAATGATGTTTTTCATCCGGTGCCAGGGCTGGCGCCGGCGCCGGTGCCGGTGGCGGTGCCGGTGCCAGGGCTGGTGCCGGTGCGGTTGCGGGGGCGGGTGCAATGCCGGTGCTGGCGCCGGCGACGGCGACGGCGCTGGTGCCCGTGCCGGTGCCGGTGCCAATGCCGCCGGCGCAGGCGCCGGTGCCGGTGCACCATGCCGGTGCCGGTGCCGGTGCCGGTGCCGGTGCCGGTGCCGTTGCCTGTGCCGGTGCCGGTGCCGGTGCCGGTGCCGGTGCCGGTGCCGGTGCCGGTGCCGGTGCCGGTGCCGGTGCCGGTGCCGGGTGCCGGTGCCGGTGCCGGTGCCGGTGGTGCCGGTTGCCGGTGCCGGTGCCGGTGCCGGTGGGCGAGAATCGTTCTATAGTGCCTCTCCCCCTCTTCCTCCTCCTCCTCCTCTTCCTCTCTCCTTCTCCTCCTCCTCCTCCTCCCCCTCCTCCTCCTCCTCCTCCCTCCTCCTCCTCCTCCCTCCTCCTCCTCCTCCTCCTCCTCCTCCTCCTCCTCCTCCTCCTCCTCCTCCTCCTCCTCCTCCTCCTCCTCTCCTCCTCCTCCTCTCCTCTCCTCCTCTCCTCCTCCTCCTCCTCCTCCCTCCTCCTCCCCTCCTCCTCCTCCTCCTCCTCCTCCTCCTCCTCCTCCTCTCCTCCTCCTCCTCCTCTTCCTCCTCTCTCCTCCTCTCCTCCTCCTTCCTCCTCCTCCTCCTCTCCTCCTCCTCCCCCTCCTCCTCCCCCTCCTCCTCCTCCTCCTCCTCTTCCTCCTCCTCCAATTCCCCTTCCGTTCCCCCCCCCCCTTTGCTTCTCCATTGCCGCCCCTCCTTCTCTCCGCGGGCGCCTCGGCCAGCAGCGCGGTGTTGGAGTCGTGCTCCAACACCTCGGCCCACCCTTGCTGGGTAATCGAAGCCAATCTGGCAGGCCCAATCTGGCAAACGGGGGCAATCTGGCGAGGGAGCCAACGCGAATCCAGTCTGGCGAATAACCCAAATCATCCAGTTTGGCCGGGCCAGATTGGCCCTTGGGGCCCAATCCAATCTGACAGTCTGGCCTTCGACTACCCAGCCTTGGATCCTCCTTCTGTGGACCTCCCTGGAGGCATTCGCTCCACTCGTGCGTCGGAGCTGCTTCCAACGCCCGGCCATTCGAGTCGCCCACGAGTCGAACCCGAATCAAACGTGGGCCGAACTTGAAGCAAACGGGGGCCGGACCAGTTTCGGACAGATCCGTTCGGTGACCCCCCAGGAAAGTCCCCCAAACGAGCATCTACCCCCCCCCACCTGCTGCCCACCCCCCCTGTCCTGCGGGCAAGGTTCATATCCATATGCAGTGCGTCTAGGATGTTCCGGAAAGGGGGCGCCAGAAGGCCGAGGCGCCGCGGATGCGGATACAAAAATACTCACTGCGTGGAGCTCCCCATATGTGCATCTATTTGCATGGGCCTGTCCGCCGTGAACGTCTAGGCGCAAGAGCTTTCGAATATAAACGGGCTTCTGTTGTGACGGTTTGGTCATGAATCTAACTGCGGATGAATTGGAGTGTGAATGCGCCTCAGTAGTACGAGCGCGTCTCTGCGCATGAGCCTGGGGCCTCCTGGGGCCTCCTGACACCTATTGGGGCTTCCCGGGGCCTCCAGGAGCCTTTTGGGGCCTCCTGGGGCCTCCCAGGGAGGCTTCGTGCCCCAGGAGAGGCCCAATCTATAGCAACCGACGTACATAAAACATTGCGGATTGGAGCCGCAGGGCGAAGGGCAATCTATAGGAACACGCGTAAAGCACCAAGGACTCGTGCCCCAAGAAAGGCCCAACATATAGGAACATAAGTAAAACATTTAGAATTGTGTTCACAGGAGAAGGACAATCTATAGAAACATACGTATAACGTCAAGGATTCGTGCTCCAGGTGAGGCCCAATCTATAGGAGCATACGTAAAACACATGGGATTGGAGCCACTCCTGTTGCCTTTTGAGGCCTCCTGCTCCTGGGGCCTCTCGGGGCCTCCTATTGCCTTCCGAAGTCTCCTTGCGCTTCCCGTGGCCTCCTGGGGCCTCCTGTGGCTTCCTGGCCTCCTGGAGCTTCCTGGGGCCTCCTGGAGCATCTTGGGACATCTTGTGGCCTCTTGAGCCTTTCTGTGGCCTCCTGATGCCTCCTGGGACCTCGTGCGGTCCACAGTGGCCTCCTGGAGCCTGTTGGAGCATCCTGTGGCACCCTGAGGAGAATATGTGCCCACGAGTCTGGCCACCAAAGCAAGCAAACCGAACGAGACATCCTCAAAGTCTGGCCCACCTGGGGGGGTGAAAATGAGCGCCTCGCTCGAGACATCCTCCAAATCTGCTCCGAACGCGAAGGATGTTGGGCCAGAGAACAAGCAAACCGCTTGAGACATCCCGACAAAACGGCCGCGAACGGGACCGTGTCATACCCCTCGGCGGCTCCCCTCAGGAGCGTGAAAATGAGCGCCTCGCTCGAGAGACATCCTCCAAATCTGCTCCGAAGGCGAAGGATGTTGGGCCAGAAAGCACGCAAACCGCTTGAGACATCCCCACAAAACGGTCGCGAACGGGACCGTGTCATACCCCTCGGCGGCTCCCCTCAGGGACGTGAAAATGGGAGGAGGAAGGGAGGAGGGAGGGAGGGAGGGAGGGAGGGAGGGAGGGAGGGAGGGAAAGGGGGAGGGCGCGGCACGCGGGGGCCACGGCTGCGCACGGGAACCGTGCCGGGCGGGGGCGCACCCGCTCCCGGGGGGGGCCTCGGGTCTGGGGGGCCCCGGCGGGCGGCGGGCACGGCCGCGCGCGAGGCACCCCCAGAGGCCCCCCCCCGGAGGCCCACCACGGGCCGTCGCTCGGACGTCCATGCCCTGTGATTTTTGTCGGTGTCGCGCGTGGCTTCTCCGCCACAGGATCCAGGGTGCTCCTCGAGGGTTCTCGCCGACAGAAAAATCTAGGGCTCCCAACTTCGCGCTTCGCGCTGCGCGAAGCGCGAATAACTTCGCGCTCTCGCGCCGCCCTCCCAAAGGGAGAATAGGAGGACGAGGAGGAGGGGGAGAAGGAACGAGGACCGCGAAGCGCGAAGCGCGAATAACTTCGCGCCCTCGAGGGAGCCCTTGAAAATGCACACGTCCGAACGATGCCAGGACCCGAGGCCCCAGGGGAGAGGCCCCGGCGCGCAGCCCGGGCAGGGCCTCGCTCGTCCACGGCCCTGCCACATCGCGGGAGGCCGCGGGCCGACAGGCCGGCGGAGGGGCTCTCTCCGGCCGTGCCCCCAAAAGGGGAGAACGGGGTGTTCTGGGAGTCCCCTCGGGGGGAACAAATCACAACAACAAACAACGCGGAAAACGAAGATGCGACGACGCGAGTTGTCGGGTCGGCATGGTGAAGGTTCATGCTGCTTCCGTCGTGCTGAAGGAGGTTCATGCTGCTTCCGTCGTGCTGAAGGACCACAGCCCAGAAATGATTTCGGGCACCCAGAGGGGTGTCGAAACGGTGTCGGATGAGCGTCGCCTCCCAGGGCCCGCCACGTGGAAGCCCTCCAGATTCGATGCTCTCATTGGTGCTCGGCATGCTTTCTGGTGGTCAAGGCCATACAGGCGGGTTTTGTGCGACGAATTAGAAGTACCGAGCAACAGGCGCCGAACATGCTCACCAATATGTCAAGACATACTCCCCCGACTATTTTTAAAGATTTTGGAATCTTCCTCCTCTAGAGGAGCAGGCCCGACTTAAAAGTAGGTTGGAACATCATAAGCGAAGGTGCGCATCGTTCTCCCCAGGAATGGAGCATGGCCCAGGGCCGCTGCGCGGGCGAGGGAGAGACCCGGGGACGTGTCGAAAGGAGAGCGGCAATCCTACGAGCACGGCTACCAAGAAGAAGACGAAGAAGCATCGTACAAAAGACCATGATAGACAATACTACGGACAATAATCACAAGAAGAATAAGACTAATAATGATGATTCTCATAACCATAATAAAAAAAAGAAGACGGCCCCCGCTTTGAGGCGGCCGGGGGCCGCCTCCGCTCAACATCGGTCCCCAGGCCCCTCCCCGGGTCCAACTGGTGCAAAGTGCTGTTACCCCGGATCTGCTTTCCACTGTACGTGGGCCCGAAAAAGGCCCCCCGAGGGTGAAAAAGGCGCAAGATCTCCCCGAGCCCAGAACCTCAAACGGGCCTGGCCTTCCTTGAGCAGGGATCGACCGTCCCGGCATTCCTATAGGGCCACCACGACATGTTCTCAGAACCCAGAAATGTTCTCAGGACAAAAACACGATTCTTAGAACATAAGCCCGATGTGTTAAAACAAGACAGACTCCGCCAGAAACGTTCTAAGAACATGCCGTGCAAACCACAAAACAGCTTCTTAGAACATTTGTTGGTAGGCCTATAAGCACGCCGGGACGCTTCGCCACTGCTTGAGCTGGGGCCAGTGCGGGGCCACCTCAGACAACCGGCCGACTCCACGCCTCCGCCATGGTATCCGCACGCCCCCTAGTCACCAGACGCATGTCGACATGCAGCGCAAAGTGGGGGGGGAGGGGGTCTGGCTCTAAGTCGGGCCTGTCCCCCTACAGGCCGATCTTCGACGCAAAATGAAAAGTAGTCCAAACATACAATGGAAGATTCAAACATGGTTTAAAACGTCGTCCCAAGACTGTTCTTTTACTATTTGTGAACATTCCTCCTGTAGAGGGACAGGCCCGACTTCAGTCTGGCTCTGGACCTCCGCTGGATGCGACTGTTCGAGGCAGTGCGTCCTGCAGGGGAGACCCCACCTGCTTGAAACAGGCGCCCCACGGAGCCAAGATCTGCTCCATGGGGGGGTCGGAAGGGGGTGCGAGGGTCCGCGCCGATCTAGGGGGAAAACAAGCCTACCTCGCTTTTGACCACCCTCGCTTCCGAGGGATACCAAACGATGCCAAATTGCAGCCTGTACTGGTCAGGCCGCTTGACGAGGAGGCGCGTGGTATGACTTGGTTTTGCCTGGAAGCGAAAGCGGGGTAGGTATTTCACGCTCTGACGATCGGCAAAACAGTGAATAAGAAGCCGATCACCTAACTATTGATTATGCTGTCGATGCTGCTCGGTACAGTCGGGGCGTTGACCCAAGGAACCCTAAATAAGGAACGAGGCCCCTTTTTCCCATAAATTAAACTTAGATTTCCTATCGAAAACCTAAAAAAAACCTGAGGCAAGCTGTGAAGCACTTGAGGAACGCGGAGCCCCTCCCCAACGAAAAGGGTTCCTTCTTCAGGGCCCCGACTGTAGCTTGCTGGACTGAACACCAAGCCCCCGGTGTTGCCGTTCTCGATGGCCACTGTCTGCCCCACAACTGCGCACACAAGAGCCGCAGGGACGAATCCCCAAATCTTGGGAGATGGGCCCGAGTACAGTCGGGGCGTTGACCCAAGGAACCCTAAATAAGGAACGAGGCCCCTTTTTCCCATAAGTTCAACTTCGATTTCCTATCGAAGACGTAAGGGAAATCATCAACACCACAATGTTCATCAACATCAACGTCACCATCACCATCACCATCATCACCATCATCAGCACCATCATCATCACATCACCATCATCATCAGCATCATCAACAGCACCATCATCATCACCATCATCATCATCACCACATCATCACCACATCCCCATCATCAACATCATCATCAGCAGCATCACCATCATCATCATCATCATCATCATCATCATCAGGAGCATCATCATCAGGAGCATCGTCATCATCATCACCATCATCATCATCACCTTCATTGC